AGAGAGAGAGAGAGATGCAAAAGTCATAACTTTGACGATGGGTCACAAGTCTTGTTTTCTGAGGCCGTCGTAACTTTGAGCCCCCGTTAAGCGAACGGTTGGCCACCTGCATTAAAGAGATTTTGCTATTGCAGCCCAGTGTCTATTGCTTGCAGCTCTAGGAGGGTCCAGTTGTGAATCCATCTGTCCTATATGGTGAGTGCCCTTTCTCAGCCCCCCTCCTCAATCTAAACAAAGGACGAGAGGGGACGTGATAGCAGTCTTCCAATATCTCAGGGGCTGCCCCAAAGAAGAGGGAGTCAAGCTGTTCTCCAAAGTGCCCGAAGGCAGGACAAGAAGCAACGGATGGAAACTAACCAAGGAGAGAAGCAACCTAGAACTAAGGAGAAACTTCCTGACAGTTAGAACACTGGAGGTTTTTAAGAAGAGACTGGACAGCCATTTGTCTGAAATGGTATAAGGTTTCCTGCCTGAGCAGGGGGTTGGACTAGATGACCTCCAAGGTCCCTTCCAACTTTGTTTTCTATTCTATTCTATTCTATTCTATTCTATTCTATTCTATTCTATTCTATTCTAGTCCAGTCCAGTCCAGTCCAGTCCAGTCCAGTCCAGTCCAGTCTAGTCTAGTCTAGTCTAGTTTAGTCTAGTCTATTATTTTCTATTCTATTTTCTATTTTATTTTATTCTATTTTCTATTCTATTTTCTCTTCTCTTCTCTTCTCTTCTCTTCTCTTCTCTTCTTCATTCCTCTATTCTATTCTATTCTATTCTATTCTATTCTATTCTATTCTATTCTATTCTATTCTATTCTATTCTAGTCTAGTCTAGTCTAGTCTAGTCTAGTCATTCACTAGCCAGCATCTAATTGATTGTATATGATGCCCCTCAGGAGGGCATACTAAGGCAATGCTAAAAGGGCAGCTCTTTTCTTGAGGCTGTATTTAATGCTGCCGCTAATCACGGAGATTAGACTGAAACAATTACAGCAGCTAATTAAAGAACAATGCCAGTTTTTGGCATCTTTTCGCAAACAGCCCGATTGGGAATTCTTAACGCAAGCAAAGCAACGATAATTAAAAAGAAAGCTCCATCTTTTTTCCCTCCCTCTTCCTTACACATGGGCTGCTGGATCGTGCTGATTAAATGGCAAAATGCTCAGAGAAAGAAAGAAAGAAAGAAAGAAAGAAAGAAAGAAAGGAAGGAAGGAAGGAAGAAAGAAAGAAAGGAAGGAAGGAAGGAAGGAAGGAAGGAAGGAAGGAAGAAAGGAAAAGAAACACGTGCAAAACAAAGGCTTTGAGGTCTATCCAAACACTTTTAACGAGGCTTTTTAAGGGATTCAGAAAATGGGACCCCCCCAGAGAAAGGTGGAAGGTTGCAGGGAGAGAGAAAGAGGTCACTGACTTCCTTGGTGTTCTACTTTTTTTTTTTTTATTTTATTTTTGGCACAGCTGTCTCCTGAAGTCCAGGTGGTCCTCGACTTACAGCCAGAATTGAGGCCAAAATTTCTGTTGCTAAGCGAGACACTTGTTAAGTGCATTTTGCCCCATTTTGCAACCTTTCTTGCCCCAGTTGCTAAGCGAATCGCTGCACTTGTTAAGTTAGTAACATGGTTGTTAAGTGAATCTGGCTCCCCCCCCCCCCGTGGACTCTGCTTGTCAGAAGATCACAAAAGGGGTTCTTCTTCTTGTTCTTCTTGTTCTTGTTCTTGTTCTCCTCCTCCTCCTCCTCCTCCTCCTCCTCCTCCTCCTCTTCTTCTTCTTCTTCTTCTTCTTCTTCCTCCTCCTCCTCTTCTTCTTCTTCTCCTTCTTCTCCTTCTCCTCCTTCTCCTCCTTCTCCTCCTCCTCCTCCTGCTCTTCTCATTCTCATTCTCCTCCTCCTTTCTTCTCCTCCTCCTTCTCCTCCTTCTTCTTCCTTCCTGCTTTCTTCATCATCATCATCATCATCATCATCATCATCATCGTTGTTGTTGTTATTGTTGTTATTGTTATTATTGTTATTATTATATAAACAGAGTTCAACTTATCTTCCTCCCATGCTGGGCTCTGCATTACTGGCCTCTGCTCCCCCCCCCACGACAAATTTACGAATCCTGCCCACCCAAGGGAATCCTTTAAATCTGGATTCCGTGGCCACCTCTCCTCCAAAGGACACCCAGCTAGAATTTCAGAGAAGCCTCTCTGTGTCTCCTAGTCTGACCTTTGA